CTTCCCACCCTCCCACCCTCCCCACCCACCCACCCCATTTTGTTTTATAGAAGAAACTGGTGATTGACGATGAAACGGAATTCTGTGGAAAAGAACTCCTACAGAGCATACTCCAATGCAAGGTGAATTTTATCTGCTAGAACCACAGCTGACCTGTCAGTAGAAGGAGAAAAAGCAGTAAAATGCAAAGGCAGAAAGATCTGAGGGTTGACTGTTTTGAGACATTTAGAATAGAGTAGCTTCTAGTAACATGGAGGCTTAAGTAACTGTCCTTCTTCTCTGCTGAATGTTAATAATCAGAGTGAACTTTGGATGAGTTGCTTTAGGTGAACAGTCCTAAACTTGTTAAGAATATTTTAACTTAATTTTCCCCCTGAAAATGGATTGATTATGCCTAAAAAACAGAACACAAGAATAGTCTTATCCTCTGTGGATGAAGCTAGTTAGTCCTCTGCAGAAGAATTCATTGAATCAGTTAAATTTCTTCATGAGGATGGTGCTCTGACAATATTGAAGTGAGTGATGCTAAGGAAGACTTTGCTGTCAAGTGATTGTGAAATTGCAATCTGTGCGCAAGAGAGCCCAATCATGGCAAAATGAGTACTGAGCACCAGTATTTATATGAAACGCCAATATTGTCTGATAGTGATTTGATTTATGTGAAACCCTGATACTCACTGATGTTCACTCTTTTGTGGTGGAGGCCAGCTTCCCATTTCTTTTCAGAAGCTTCAGATTGACTCCCTGCCTTGATATGAGAGGCAGACTCTTATAGGGCTCCTGCACTAAGGAAGAGCCCACATTTAAAGGAGAGGGAAAAAAAGCACAGTACCGGGTCTCCTAGAGAGGATGGCAGCAAGAAAAAGAGGGCCTTATTTATGAATAGTAGTTGGGTTCTTGCCTGGCAAACAGGTATCTGATTCAGTGGGAAGAACCTGAATGGCCTTTCCTACATTCCATGGATAGTGTGGGAAGCTAACAAAATGTGCCTCAGATCGCTTGTGATACAGGCTCATTATTGGAGCTCAGCCCTAGAGAGGAGTGCCACTGTGGAGCAACGTCCTGTCAAGAGTGCGGAAGTGTGAATGGATGCATCTGATGACTGCTCCAGGCTTTGCCCAAGCTGCAGCTGTCTTATTTTCAGAGCTTAGATGGTTCTCTAAGCCACTCCCACTTCATTAAGCAAAGAGAGGAGGCCATTGCTCTCCTTTGTCCTCAAAGGACAAGAACCTAATCAAGCTGATTAAAACAGGTTCCAAGAGAGCAGGAGAAGGCCTAGTTCTTAAGCTTTCAAAACAGCCCTATGATCCAAAGATTGATTCCCTCTTCAGCAAACTCTGGTCATTCTGTGAGAGGGCTATTCTTAACCATTCATGTTGCAATAAGCTGTGCTCCAGAATATAGTATAATAAATCCAAATCAAGGCATACTATTCTAGTTAACATTAGTCCCTCTGTCCCACCAATGAGAACTGGACATAAGAATATTTCAACTCACATGTCCTTCTTCTCTGTCCAGTGAGTGAAAGAGAGCCAAAGTAGCTTTAATAACTCTCTCTTGGCTAGGGAGACAGAGGACAAGAGGGACAGGCAAACATCTCTTAAAATTCATCCAGTTTTTTTCCCAGCTGCTTTAATACTTTCAATGACTCGAGACAGTGAGGAAAGATGCCACCCTCCCCTTTACCGGCAAGCATTCACAGGGATGCCTGTTTTCACCAGAAAGTTTCCCCAAATTGATGTCAACCTCTCTATAAATGATACTGTTGAGATCGTAGGACATGGAACACCAACAACTAACACCTAGAGCTACTGGTATAGCTGTTGCCTTCCCCTATGGCAATGCTTCCACTCAAACTTCTCTTTCTGACTAGCTTTGAGGAAGTGAATCATAGAGAGGGTCAAACTTTT